CATAAATTTGGGGGGGGGTGGGCTTTTCACTATTTTGTTTTAAAATTTAGGCTTCATTTATTTAATTACTTTTTACCCATTCCATCCATCATTTTTCCTTTTCATGATATTCACTTATACATATATTAAACTAATAAATAGTGCCCCAAAGGTTACTCAAGTTTATATAATTTCATTAAATTCTTTTCCTATTAACTGTTTTCAAGTTCACCAATGCCTTGTTTTTGTCTAAAATTTGTTGCTAAGCATATTCGTGAATGTTTTTAAACATTCTGATATTAGTACATAAATCTTTTTAAGGTGACAAATGCAGAGAGGGACAGTGCTCAACTGGAACAATGCTGAAAGGCTAGGTCATCCAAAAAAGTTTGCAAAGAGGAACTTCAAAAAAACCCTAAAGAGATCCCACAAGATAACTATATCCAGGAAAGATGCTGCTCAAGAGGAATCACGGCTTGGAGTCACTGGAGGAGAGGCACAAAGATTTTGTGCAACCGGTTCCAAGTGTTGTTCTTCCTCTTGTAAAAATTCTCAAACAAAAAGAACCATCCAGGGCTGGGGTTGTAGCTCAGTGGAAGAGCGTTTGCCTAGTATGTGTGAGGCCCTGGGTTTGATCCTCAGCACCACATAAAGATAGATAAATAAAATAAAGGTATTGTATCCATCTAAACTATGAAAACAAACAAAACCATCCACTGCTCTGTGAAAAGAAATGATACTTAAAATAGTGCATTTGACCAGGCATGGTGGCACAGGCTTGCAATCCCAGCTCCTCAGGAGGTTGAGGCAGGATGATGGCAAGTTTCAGGGCAGCCTGGGCAAACTAACACCATGCTTGCCTAGCCGTGCATGCACTGGGTTCAATCCCCAGTACTGATGGGGAAAAACAGTGTCATAGGGGCTGGAGTTGTGGCTCAGTGGTGAAGCACTTGCCTAGCATGTGTGAGGCCCTGGGTTCGAGCCTCAGCACCATATAAATACATAAAATAAAAGTCCATCTACAACTAAAAAAATTAAAACACAAAACAAACAAACAAACAAACAAACAAAAAAACAGTGCCATAGTTTGAAAATCAGCATAGAGGACTGTCGAATGACAAAATCAAATCAAAACATCTGATTGGCTTTTTTTGCAATTCTAGAACAGATTCTATAAATCTGAATGTGTGCTTCAGTAAGCTGATCAGAAGGAGTTTGGGCTTTAAAGGCAGAAAAGGGCTGAGAGAGAACAAAAGTCCCATTGTTCTGTTCAAAGTTACTTTCCACAGAAAGGTTAAAGCAAAAGGGACTTTTTTTTTTTTTTAATCACCCAGCCTAACACTGGCCCATTTGGGGATCTGGCCATTGTCTGTCTCCTGATTTTCTTGGCAGAATGGACTTGCTGACATGGAACTTCCGTATGAGTAACTCCATTTGGTGTGGTCAGCCGGACCTAGTTCAGGAGCTCAGAACAAATCTTGTTTTTTTGTTTTTTTTTTAATATTTATTTTTTAGTTGTAGATAGACACAATACATTTATTTTATTTTTTTAAATTTTTATGTGGTGCTGAGGATCAAACCCCGGGCCTCACATGTGCTAGGCAAGCATTCTACTGCTGAGCCACAACTTCAGCCCTAAACCAGTGGTCTTCTATAAATTTTATTTAATAGGACAAATAATAATGTCTACTGGAGAGAGGATGGGACTTGGAACGTGGGTCAGAAACTGGAAGTTTGGGATCTGTAGCCAGCACTGGGGAGAGCGTGGTGGGGCTGAGAATTTGAGATCCTGCTCTGAGCTGGGGAGAGAGGCAGCTCCTCCCATGCACGTCTTCCTCGCAGGAGTTGGCGTCACAGTGACCCTCCACGGGTCACTGCACAGTTGGGAGAAGAGGGGCTGCAGGTGGAGCTGCCCAGAGAGGATTCTGTGCCAGGCCGATTCGCAGTTTTCCAAGAAAGATATACAAATGACCAAGAGCAAATGAAAAATGCTGAGTATCTTCCAATACAAAGAAATTATATGTCTGAAATGATAGATATGCCAGTTACCCTGACCTGTTCATAACATTATATGCATTTACTGAAATGTCACACTGTACCCCATAAGCACAATTACTATTTTATTTATTTTAAAAATAAAGATTTTTTAAAAAGAAAGATGTTGGGGCCAGACTGGGTGGCACACACCTATAATCCCAGCAGCTCAGAAGGCTGAAACAGGAGGATGGTGAGTTCAAAGCCAGCCTCAGCAAAGGTGAGGCACTAAGCAACTCAGTGAGACCTTGTTTCTGATAAAATACAAAATTGCACTGGGGATGTGGCTCAGTGGTTGAGTGCCCCTTAGTTCAATCCCTGGTGCCCCCTCCCAAAAAAAAGATGTTGTGCTAGGGGGTGTGGTTCAGTGGTCAAGTGCTTGCCTAGTATGCTCCAGTCCTTGGGTTCAATCCCCAGCACTGAAAAATATGTTGAACATTATTATCCATGAAGGAAATGGAAATTAAAACCACAAAGAAGGTCTAGCATGGTGGCACACTTCTACAAACCCTGCTACTTGGGAAGCTGAGGCAGGAGGACCTCAATTTGAGGTCAGACTGAGTAATTTAAAAGCCCGCTTCAAAATAAAAAAAATACAAAAAAGGGCTGAAGATGTAGCTCAGTGGTAGAGCACACCTGGGTCCAATTTCCAGTACTGCCAAAAAAAAAAAAAAAAAAAGAAACAAAAAAATCCACAATGAAGCCAGGTGTGGTAGCACACACTAGTAATCCAGCTACTCTGGAGGCCAAGGTAGGAGGATCACTTGAGTTCAAAATCAGCCTGGGCAACATAGTGAGACTACTCTCCTTCCCTGTCTCAAAAAAAAAAAAAAAATCAAAATATGCCACTTCACAGTCACTAGGATGACTAGAATAAAAAAGATACTGGGTTGGGGGTATAGCTTAGAGGTAAAGCACTTGTCTAACATGTGCAAGACCTTAGGTTCCATCTGTAGCACTGTCCCCTTCAAAAAAAAAGGGGGGGGGGATATGGTAACAAGTGATGCTGAAGATATGAAAAAAAATTAGAATCCTCAAGCATTGCTTGTGGGAATCTAAAATAGTACAGTAGCCTTCTTAGAAAACTGTTAGTTCCTTGGAGATTAAACATAGAAGTACTAGGAGTCCCATTCATTCCACTCTAAAAGAAATGAAATTAAATGTCCATTGAAAAACTGTACATGAATGTTTATAGCAAACTTATTAATAATAGTTTAAAAGAATGGAAACAACCAAATGTTATAAACAGACATAAGTGGATAAGCGAATGAGTTATTTGGATACTAGAAAGTACCCTGAGGTTAACAAAATGAATAAATTTGAGCCCAGAATGAAAGGGCCTATAATCCCAGTTACTCAGAGGCTGAGGCAGGAGGATCAGTAGTTCCAGGCAACATGGAAAACTTAGTAGAGTGCAAATATTAATGCATACTCCAACACAAATGTCACTGAAAATAATTATGACAAGTAAATAAAGTTAATTACAAAGAACACATGTGATTTTATTCCAAGTACAGAAAGCTATAGCATCAGAAAGTAAATTAATGCTCGCCTAGAGGCTTAGATAAAGAAGTGAAAAGATAGGAGATGGAGAGCTAAAGAGCATAGTTTCTTCTTTATTTCTTGTAGTTGTTGTTCTGGGGATGAAACCCAGGCACTTTAGTATTCTAGGCAAGCACTCTACTACTGAACTTCACCCCCCCCAGCCCCTAATTTTAAATTGATACCTAATGACACACATTTATGGGTTACCATATGAAGGGATTTCTCTATGAGGTGTTGAAAATGTTCTAAAATGACGGTAATTAACAGAGCGTGGTGGCCTGTGCCTGGTAGTCTCAGCTACTGTGGAGGATGAAGCAGGGAACCTAGAGTTTGCTTGAGCCCAAGGAATTCGAGGTCAACCTGGCCAACCCAGTAAGACTCAAAAAACAGAATAGCCGCCCGGTGGCGTATGAAACACGAAGATTACAAGTTCCAGGCCACCCTGGGCAATTTAGAGAGACCCTGTCACAAAAAAAAAGTAAAAAGGGACTTTAGCTCAGCGGTGGGGCTCCCCAGGATTAAATCCCCAGTTTTATTTTGTTTTTTTTTTTTTTTAAATCGACTGCGCTAATGATTGTATGTATATGTGAACATATTGAAAGCCACTGAATTCTACCCTATAATTAGATGTATTGTGTGAGTATGCATTATATAAAACTGTTCAAATAAATAAGTAAACGCCTTAGGAGTTTCGATCCAACTTCTTAAGGTTTATTCACTGTTTTTTCTAATGGCAGAGAAAATGGGAATTAATCGCCTTATGAATATCACACCCATTTCCATTCCAAAGTGCACAAATTGTGCACAAATTGATGGATATCCATCCAGTGCAAAATGTACAGTTCATAGTTTTAATGAACATATCTCATAGCTTGTGACTTATCTGAGAAAAGTTTCTCCTCCCAGGCTAGGGCTTCGGGTTTTACCACTCAGTACCAGTACCAAGTGTTTGGGGGAAGGCTCAACCCTGTCAATTGTCAAAGACCAAACGGAGCCAGATTCTTTGTTGGATATGGGGAGGTTACTTTAAGTGTTTGTATTTGTAAACAAGCGTTATAAGTCCACAAGAGGCCTCAAAGTCTTAGGTCAAGCCTAAGACATCTGACCCTTCAGTTTCTACCTTGCAAGACCTGAACAAAAGGCCTCGCTTTCTCTAGAAACTAAACCCGTGATTCCCTGCACACACTTCTGTCTCCGCGTTCAGAAGGAGCTGTAGGAGCCACCAACACCAAACCCAAGGAGCAGGACGAGTTGTGCTTAAAGGCAAAAGTCCCTAACAGGTACCGGTTCCCGGCCCGACTAACACCCCGGCGGCTCGGTGAGCGTCTTTCCGCTCCGCTGTCACAAAGGGGGCGTGTCCGTGAGAACCGTCCAATCAGGAACGCCGCCGGAAAGGTGTGGGCGGGAGCCGCGGCGCGCACTGCAGGAGGACGCTACGCGCTGGGGCCGCTCTCCACCTTGGGTCTCATCGCCGCTGGAGGGCCTCAGGTGGCACTAGCACCTGCGCGGGCCGCCGGAGCCTTAGGGAGGACGCCGGGACACCCGGAAGCCGGGAAATGGTGAGCTGGGACCAGGCCTCCAGGGGCGGGGGAGGGGCTGAGGGAGCCGGCCGGAAGCGGCCGGGGCGGGACCGGGCCTCCTCGCCTGGCTCTGGAGTCTGCGGTCCAGTCTGCCGCCACTCGGCCCTGGCTCCCTTACCATCCTTCGTAGCTCCGACAAGCAGCCGGGACCCTGGCCTCCTGTCCTGCCTCTGCGCGGCGACTTGGGCCTGGCCCAGAGCCTATCCGGGCAGCTCCGCCGCACGTCTTCCCAGACTGCGGCGACCGCGGCTGGGTCACGGGGAGACCCTCACTCGCGCGTTGGATCCGTGCGCGGGAGGAGCTGCGGTCTACCCAGGCCGGGTTTCGCCTTCCTCCCCAAGGGCGACCCATTTTCCCGAGCTTTCTAAATATCTGAGAAACAGGGGTCGCAAATCCACAGCTCTGTGCCCGGATCCAGCCCTTCCTAGAGCTGACAGTAAATTCCTAATTTCTAGATAGGTTTTCGCATGCCCAGATGCCACCTTCCCTTCTCCAGTTGACAGCATCACTCATTAAAAGCATCCTCGGTGGTGCATTTCAATTAAACGCAGTATTTCAATTACCATTTTTCCACATATGAATTAATAGTTCTTTTTTTCAAAAAATTCAGTTGTTTGTGGATATTCTTATGAGAGGGAAGCTCAGAATAGTCACCTGGAGCTAGGTTGTCTGATATCCTTGTGCCTCTTAGTCACTTTCCCAGGCACATACATCCTAGGGGAACTCTCTTGGATAGAAGTTCCAATTTGCAAACTTTCCTGGGAAGTCTGACCTTTTAGCACAGCTCCAGGTCATCACTGTCCCTCAGTTTGTCACCCTGAAAAGATTTAAGTACTCATTTGATTTTCATTTTTTTCAACAGAAATATAAAATATGTGTCATGAAGAGATCTTGGGGGAAGATGTGAAATATTTCCAAAAGTTGATGTCCAGTTTTTCTAGCACTACTTGTTGAAATGACTATTTTTTGTTGTCATTCTAGTTTTTTTTTTTTTTTTTTTTGTGTGTGTGTGTGTGTGTGTTGTGTGTGTGTGGTAATGCGGATGGAACTCAGAGCTATGTTTATTTTTTGTACCTTGGTCTTTTAACTTATGCTGGAATTAGAAATATACATACCACCACTATAGTGTTAGAATATTTTAGATATGACCACAGTAGGACTCCCTACCCACAGCTCTGCTTTTCAAAGTTTCAGTTACATTTGGTTAACTATGGTCTGATTAAATGGAAATTTTCAGTAATATAAACAACACTCAATTTAAAATTTGCACCTTTCTGAATAGTATGCTAATATCTCACACTATCTTGTGTCTTACCTGAGATCAAGGACAAAAGGGTAAATCACCCTTTTGTCCTGCATATCCCTGTTCTACGATACCTGCCTGCTAGTCACTTAGTAATAATCTCATCATCATAAGAAGGGTGAGTACAATGCAGTAAGGTATTTTGAGAGAGAGAAAGAGAAATTCATATAACATATATTTTATAGTATTATTATTATATTTGTAGTACTGGGGGTTGAACCCAGGACTTGGGAGTGCTAGGTAAGTGTATTATCTCTGAGTTATATGCCTAACCCTTTTAATTTTTTATTCTGAGCCAAGGTCCCACTAAGTTACCCAGGCTGGCCTTGAACTTGCAATCCTCCTGCCTTAGCCTTCTGACCAGCTAGAATTACAGGCATGTACCACCATGTCCAGTTTATGACAGCATTGTTATGATTGTTCTACTTTATTATTGTTGTTATTGTTCGTTTGTGGTACTTGGGGTGGAATGCAAGGCCTTGTGCATGCTAAGCAAGTGCTCTACCACTGAGCCACATCCCCGGCCCGGATGTTACTGTTAATTTTTTACTGTGCCTGTTGTAATCTCTTACTGTTCCTTTATCATAGGTACATGTGGATAAGGGAAAACAGTTCTTATGCTACTGCCAGCCAGCTCAGGGAACCCATCTGAATCTCAGTCACTTGCATGCATAAGAAACAAGCAAATGATGTAAACAGGAAAAATGAATTTAATCAAACTGTGAAGCAGCTAGATTGTTTTTCTGCAAGTCCTACAGAAGCAGAACAATTTAAAGAAACAAAAGCCAGGCACCTGATATATGTAGGCTTAGTCAGGCTGTGCTAGCCAGGGAACATGTCAGTTCTAGCTTCCTTGGTGCCCAGCTGGGCCAGGGGGTGGTTTTTCAGCATGAGGATGTTTGAGAGCTAAAATAGTTTGGAATATTTAATTTCACAGGATCTCTGTTTCATATATGGGGTTCAGTACCATTTGAGGTTTCAGGAATCCATCGGGATTCTTGGAATGTATGCATCCTTTTTTTTTTTTTCATCACTGAATTTTATACCTTCCTGCTTTCATGTTGCCATTGAGCATTGTTTTGTTTCAACTTGAAGTTCTCCCATGAGCACTTCTCCAAAGGCAAGTCTAGTGGTCAGGGGCTCCCTCAGCTTGTTTACCTGGGAACTTTAGCTCTTAATTTCTAAAGGTTGGCCTTGCTTGAGTAATGTCTTCTTGAGCAGTTATTTTCTTCCAACACTCTGAATATGTTGTCCTGTTATTTGTTGGCCTGCAAGGCTTTTGTGAAGAAATCTGCCCATAGTCATGTAGATGCCAGCGATGATTTTGAGGAGAGGGAACCCTGATACATTGTTAGTAGGAATGTACATTGTTAGTAAGAATGTAAATGGGTACAGCCAATATGGGTAACAGTATAGTGGATTATAAAAACAATTAAAGAGGGCTGGGGATGTGGCTCAAGCAGTAGCGCGCTCGCCTGGCATGCGCGGGGCGCTGGGTTTGATCCTCAGCACCACAAAAAATGAAATAAAGATGTTGTATCCACCGAAAACTAAAAAATAAATATTAAAAAAAATTCTCTCTCTCTCTCTCTCTCTCTCAAAAAAAAAAAAAATTAAAGAGGGGTGGGGATGTGGCTCAAGTGGTAGCGCGCTCGCCTAGCATGCGTGAGGCACTGGGTTCGATTCTCAGCACTACATAAAAATAAAAAATAAAGATATTGTGTCTACCTAAAACTAAAAAATTTTTATTAAAAAAAAACAAAGACAGAATTACTGTATTCCTCAGTTGTCCAACTTGTACATATTTATCTAAAAGAATTACAATCAGAATCTCAAAGAGATACCCACACTTCCATGTGTATTTCAGCCTTATTCATAAAAGCCAAGATATGTAAACAATCTAAATATCCATCAGTGAGCGAATGGGTAGAGTAAATGCGATATTTACATGCAATGGAATATTAAAATAGAGCAATCCTGCTGTGTGCCATACTAAGAATAGACTTGGGGGATGTTACAGTCAGAAAAACAAATACTATGAGTCTCATGTATATGTAATAATCTAAAATATTTGAATTCTTGGAAGCAGAGAGTAGAATGATCATTTGCAGGGGAGTGGGGAAATGAGCAGGTGATGTTCAAGGGAACATTTAAGTTATGCAGATAAATTGTGGAGGTCTGTACAACATGGTGCCTTTACTAGCAATACTGTATTTTACAGTTAAAACTTTTCAAGTAGATCTTGTGTTCTTTTTTCTTATTTATTTATTTACTGTGTTAACACAAACAAGAATGTATACATGAACAAATAGTAGTAATAATGAGAGTGGGGATAGTAATGAGGTTGTTGATGGCTATGCCTGTGGCCTTATGGGGTGATGGTTGAGTTGGTGTATACTCATCCCCAAACTCATGGGGTTTTATACATTAAATATATACAACCTCAGTAAAGTGCTTTTTAGAATATGTATTCATAAGTGGACCCTGAGCAGGCATTAGTCTCTTCATGTTCACTGGTTCATCCTGATTCTTTGATTAGTCTTTATACCTTTATCATCTTTTCTTATCTGTTACACAGTCTTCTTTTACTTTAGCTTCATCTGAACTTTCTGCAAATGAGCATTAATGAAGTTATAGTGAATAGGTTTTTGAGTGGTTTCTTTGCCTCTGCATGTTTCACACATGATAGAACATGGGATATTTTCTGTCCAGTATTTATTGTGTTTGGGCTTTCTCGGGTTGATTTTTTGCTCTTATAAAGATGGGGGGGTGGGGCTGGGGTTGGGGCTCAGCTGTAGAGCGCTTGCCTAGCGTGTATGAGGCCCTGGGTTCGATCCTCAGCATCACACAAAAATAAAAAAAAAATAAAATAAAGGTATTATGTCCAACTACAATTATTTAAAAAAAAAATACTGATCGAGCTGGGGTTGTGGCTCTGGGGTTGTAGCTCAGTGGTAGAGAGCTCACCTAGCATGTGTGAGGCCCTGGGTTCAATTTTCAGCACCACATAAAAATAAATAAATAAAGATATTGTGCCCAACTACAACTAAAAAATAAATATATATATAAAAAAGAATTCTGATCCTGGGCTAAGGTTGTGGCTCAGTGGTAGAGCGCTTGCCTAGCGTGTGTAAGGCACTAGGTTCGATTCTCAGCACCACATATAAAAAAATAAAATAAAGGTTCATTGACAACTAAAAAAATATTTTAAAAAATACTAATCCTATCATTTTGCTATCCATCACTAAGTACAAATACAGTAAATCCTTTGCACATTGGAGAAAAATCATTGGGTTGTAGGTCATGCTCATGTATAAATTTATAGGAAATAGCAATGGAGTGTATCACTTGACTCTTCTGCCATTCAGTCATAATCTAACTTATAAGAACTTCCTGCCATTTCATTTAGCTGTTTCCTCCTCATCAAAATCTTATATGGTGTATGTGTATGAGATGGCACACACCTGTAATCCCAGCTACTTGGGAGACTGAGGCAGCAGAAAGATTGCAAATTTGAAACAAACCTTGGAAACTTAGACCCTGTCTCAAAATTTAAAAAGGGCTGGGCTTGTACTTCAGTGGTAGAGTACTTGCCTAGCATGCTCAAGTGCCGCAGTCTGACTGGGCACAATTCAGGAGCCACTTGTCAAAAGACACAAACTTTATTTTTAGAACACACACACCAAACCACACAGCTCTTCAGGAAAACCTTCAGAGCCCAACTGCCACCACTGGCTTCCCACAAGCCTCTCAACCTCCCCCACTCCTCCTGCTCTTGAGGCCGATTGGCTGGGTTGTGTGGGCGGAGCCAAAAAGTCCCCCAATGAGCAGCTCCGTGGTCTGAAAGGGCGGGGGAAACAACCCAATGAGCATCACCGAAGAGGAGCCAATCAGTTGGGAACTAGAAGTTTGCTGGGGCTGCTGTGAGCCAATCATCAGCTGGCAGCTGGAAGTTTGCTGGGGCCCCTTCAGCCCTGGCTTTCAACACTCAAGCCCCTGGGTTCAATCCCCAGAACTCATAAGGCCATGGGGATGGGGGGATTACCTTGGGATTACAGGCTTATATGCTTATTTTTATTTTGCACACTAATATTGTATATATCAGAGATAATTATATTCTACTTTGGTTTGTCTTTTAACTTTTTTTTCATTTTAATATATTTGAATGTCTTGGTCTTATCCTTTATAGCTTACTGTTATATGAGAAAATTCTTCCTGTTCTTGCATCAAAATAAATTAGGGGCCTTGGGTTGTAGCTCAGTGGTAGAGTATGTACTTAGCGTTCAGGAATTCCTGGGTCTCATCTTCAGCACTATACACAAAAAATTTGCCTGTGACTTCTGAAAGTGTTTTTATGTTTTTCACATTTAAACCTACATCAAATTGGTTATTATCTGTGGAATAGAGATGGTACAATGCATTTTTTCAATTAGGTAACAGTTGTTCATTCCCCACATATTAAAGTATCAGTGAGCCCTTGAATTTCTCTGCAGTGTTTGCTTCTGTCATTAATCAACTTTACATGTAAATACCAGCCCTTTGAAGACTTTTTTCCATTCCCTTGATCTGTTTGTTTATCTCTTACTATGTCATCCTGTTCAGAATATTGTAACTCGAAAAATCCTTGACATGTTAGATGAGCCTCACTTTGTTCTGCAGATGACTTTACCCACTGTTTGACACTTGTTCCTTGGAGGTTCACAAAAGTAGTTCTGTACTCCTAAATAAATTCCATTTGTTATGGAATTTTTTGAGATGTCTTGTGGGAGAAATGACACTTTTTTTCCCTTTGTGGTTGAACTGGGGATTGAACCCAGGACCCACTTCATGCTTGGCAAGTGTTCCACCATTGGTGCTCCCCAAGCCCTTTTTTAAAATTTTATTTTGAGACAGAGACTTGCCGAATTTCCCAGGCAGGCTTCAAACCTATGATCCTCCTGCTTCAGCCTACTGAGTATCTGGGATTATAGGTGTGCACTACTGTGCCATGAGAAGTGACCTGGTTTATTCTAAAAATGGTGAAGTCTTTATACTGATTTCTCTGCATAGATATTAACCAATATTTATTTCTTTTTTTTATGTTTTGGTTCTGGGAATTGAACCCAGCTATACCCTTAGACCCAATAAAAATTTCGTCCGTTAGGATTGTTAACTTTCTTTAGTCTTTTCTAGTAGTTGTGTGTGTTCTGGAGGAAAGCAGCTGCAGGTTTCCAATGTTCCCTCCTAATGTAGTGACACAGAATGGGCTCAGATCCCCAAGCAGTAACTTGTGACAACATCTGAAATATCATCTACCAAGGAAGCTCATTAGAGTAAGTGCTCACAGTGCTTTCTGGGGGCTCATCAAGTAGCTCTCTGCCGAGGATGTAAAAGGGACCAGATTATCAGGAGGAAAACAGAAAATTCAGAATACCAAGCCACTCTTTCAACTTTTTATTTATGGTGCTGGGAATTGAACTCAGGACCCTTGCACATGCTAGGTAAGCACTGTATCACTGAACTATACCCCTAGCTCTTGTGTACTTTTTTTTTTTTTTTTAATAACCAGGGTATTCATCCCCAGTCCTTTTTATTTTTATTTTTTTATTTTGAGATAGGGTCTTGCTAAATTGCTGAGGCTGGCCTTGAACTTTTCATCCTCCTGACTCAGTCTCCTGAGTTGCTGGGATTATAGGCATTTGCCACCACACCATGTAGGTTTTGTTTTGATGTTCCTTCCCCACCCCAAGACACTCTTATAACTAAAATTGGGTCCCTCTGAAATGATCACTTTGCAGATATGAGTAAAGGGCAAATTTCTTAAGCAGGCATTGCTAACAGTAAGCATCTCAGACCTACTACTGTTAAAACCTTTCTGATCACTAATTAGTAAGACTTTCTTTGAGAAAGTCATATAGATTCTTTCTACAAGGAGTAATTAGGGAAGACCCAAGCAGCTCATTTTTCCCTAGACCAATCAGCAAGAAGGATGTTGATTTCTGCTGTAAACTCCCATATCAGAGTTTCTGTTTGGGAGTATTTTCCTCTGTCGCGTGCACATGGATATCAGTAGGTTAGTACTCTGTTTTAGAGATCAGCATTTGGTCTCTCTTTTAGAGATCAGCTAGAAACTGATGAGCAGCAGCCCTGAGGCTCATTATATGACTGAGAGATTCCTGTGCTCACTTGGGTTCTCAGGTATACCTCATGAGAGCTGAAATGAGTGACATGGCAATCAGCCTCTAGAGTAACATAGGGTATCACTTCCTCCTGAGGTTGGAGAAAGGGGAATTCATTTCTTCTGGAGGATAGCACTGCTGAATCTTTTATATAGTTTGTAATCATGGGTAAATTTATCCTGTTAGTCAGCTTTCTGTCATCTGAGACATTATAATAAAGATTTGTTTTGGGTCAGTTTTAGCCCATGTTTGCTTGGCCCTGTTACTTTGGGCCTGTGGTGGCACAGCACATCATAGCAGGAATGTGTGGGAGAGAGGCCTGTTCACCTGGGAAGTAATAATAAAACAGGAGGGGCCAGGGTCCCAATATCCATTTTTGGGACACCCCCAATGATCTAATTTCCTTCCAGTAGGCCCCACCTCCTAAAGGTTCCACCACCTCCCAGTAGTGCCACAGGCTGGGGACCAGGTCTTCAACACATGGGCCTTTAGAGGACACTGAAGAACCAAATCATCATTCACTCTCCAACCATTGTGGACATCAGCAGACTTCCTTCAAATTGCAACTCTTAACCCAACTCTGATCTTGAAGGTCAGCATTGCATAGGGTATATTGTTAAGGTTCTTAGGGGAAGAATTGCTCTAGTACCTTATCACCTTTGTCTTATGTGTGCTAGAAACTGAGCAGCAGCCCTGAGGCTCATGAACACAGGGATTCTGTGGAGGTCTAAGTTGTCATGCCTTCCTCCTTATGCCTGTTGTCTTCCTTCCCTGCATCAAATTGGACTTGGAAAAAAAAAAGAACAGCTGAGTCTGTGGTACATATCACACAATGAATTCTTCTCTGAAGGAATATTTTCTTTCAGCCAATGGGATTTGACTACTTCTTAAGAAACTGCAGGGGCTGGGGTTGTGGCTCAGCGGTGGCGCGCTTGCCTGGCATGCATGAGGCACTGGGTTTGAGTCTCAGCACCACATACAAATAAATAATAATAATAAAAAAGGTCCATCAACAACTAAAAAATATTAAAAAAAAAAAAAAAAGAAAAGAAACCGCAGAACTTCAGGAACATGACCAGCTGGATATTGTTACAAATGGAAGGTACTACCAGCCTTTTGTTATCATATATGCAATTATGGGAATAGAAGAAAAAGTGTACAATACTTAAGTATGTATTTATATATTAAAACCTCATACAGCTGAGTATGATAGCACACAACTGTAATCCCAGCTATTCAGGAGACTAAGCAGGAGGATCGCAAGTTCAAGGCCAGTCTTGGCAACTTGATGAGACCCTGTCTCAAAATAAAATCAAAAGGATTGGGGGAATAGCTCAATGGTAGAGCACTTGACTAGCATGCACAAAGTGAGCAGTTGCTAGTCTTATAATGGAAATATTTGTTTAATTTATTTAGAATTTATCCAAGATGTTATGTATTCTTTTGTTGCAGAGCAATAAAACTTAGTGTGACCACAGTAAAATGTAGAAACAATTTCCATATATTTTTAGTGCTGTTAAATTTACAAGCAAGCGATTGTTGACAGAAATTCGGAGTTTTGATGACCAAGTTATAGAATGAATGTTTGGAGACCAAAGACTTGTGAACTTTTTAGTGAATTGAGTGTAGGTCCCCTATGCTGTAAGTCTTATCCATCCTTCTTTACACATACGTATGTGGAATGTTTTAGGACTCAGTGGCCTTTGAGGATGTGGCTGTGAACTTCACCCAGGAGGAGTGGGCTTTGCTGGATCCCTTTCAGAAGAAACTCTACAGAGATGTGATGCAGGAAACCTTCATTAACTTGGCGTCTATAGGTAAGAACAAAAATCATTCCCACACTTAGTCTTAGAGAACAAGTATTTCTTGTTCCTCAACCAGGGTTTTAAGACTTTGATTTTAGAAAGGGAATACTTTGGTGAGTAAATTTGGCAAGGTATGAACTCATCGTGGACCTAGAATCTAATAATTTTTGTATAATTTCTAATAATTTGCAGTGATTTTTCTGGGTTTGCATTGTAGGGGAAAATTGGGAAGACCAGAACACTGAAGATAAATACAAAAGCCAGGGGAGAAATCTTAGGTGAGTTGTACCTAGGAAAAAAGTAGTATCCCATGAGGGAATATTAGCATGTGATGAAATTTTAAGAAATAAGTAAACAAAACAAATAAACTCAATTATGTATTTATGGCTTTTAGAAAAATTTCACTGAGATTTTTTTAAAATGGCATAAATATTCAGTATTTGTTTACCTAAAACTGTTAATAAATTCAACATTATGAATATCACTGGTCTCTTCTTTTTCTTTTCTTTCTTTCTTTTTTTTTTTTTTTTGGTCCTGGGGGTTGAGCTCATGGCCTCACACACAGTAGGCAAGTAGTCTACCTTTGAGTAGCCCTTTATTTTATTTAATTGTATTTTGAGACAGTGTCTTGCTAGGTTGCTCAGATTAGTCTTGAACTTGTAATCACCCTGACTCAGCCTCCCAGTCTGCAGGATTACAGGCATGTGCCACTGTGCCTGTTTAATGTCACTGTTTTGGTTATAGCTCTAGTTACTCTTCCAGAGCGTTCATTACTTACATTGAAGATACCAAACGTGCAATTCTGCTACCTATTGTGAAATCTTTAATCATCATTAATAAAAAAAGACCACTGATAACGCATGTCTTGTTTTCTACAGAGGTTGTACTGTAGAGAGACTCTGTGAACGAAAAGAAGGTCAATTTGGGGAAAGCATTCGTCAGACTCCAAATCTTAAACGGAACAAGAAAACTATTCCTGGAGTAAAACCACATGAGTGCAGTGTGTGTGGAAAAGTCTACATGTGTCATTCATCTCTTAACAGGCACATGAAATGTCACACAGAACGCAAACCATATGAGAACCACAAATATGGAGAGAAGTCCTATGAATGTAAGGAATGTGGGAAAACATTCAACTTTCGGAGTTCATTTCGAATACATGAAAGGACTCACACTGGAGAGAAACCCTATAAATGCAAGCAATGTGGGAAAGCTTTCTGTTGGCCCAGTTCCTTTCAGATACATGAAAGGACTCACACTGGAGAGAAACCCTATGAATGTAAGGAGTGTGGCAAAGCCTTCATTTATCACACAACATATCGAGGACACATGAGAATGCACACAGGAGAGAAACCTTATCAGTGTAAAGAATGTGGGAAAACCTTCAGTCACCCGAGTTCATTTCGAAACCATGAAAGAACTCACTCTGGAGAGAAACCTTATGTATGTGAACAATGTGGAAAAGCCTTCAGATACTACCAAACTTTTCAAATACATGAAAGGACTCACACTGGAGAAAAGCCCTATCAGTGTAAGCAATGTGGGAAAGCTCTCAGTTGTCCCACTTCGTTTCGAAGTCATGAAAGGATTCACACTGGAGAAAAACCCTACAAATGTAGAAAATGTGGCAAAGCCTTCAGTTTTCCTAGTTCCTTTCGAAAACATGAAAGAATTCATACTGGAGAGAAACCTTATGATTGTAAGCAGTGTGGGAAAGCGTTCATTTCTCTTCCAAGCTTTCGAAGACATATGATAATGCACACTGGGAATGGGCCTTATAAATGTAAGGAATGTGGGAAAGCCTTTGATTGTCCCAGTTCATTTCAAATTCATGAAAGAACTCACACTGGAGAGAAACCCTATGAGTGTAAACAGTGTGGGAAAGCCTTCAGTTGTTCCAGTTCCTTTCGAATGCATGAAAGGACTCACACTGGGGAAAAACCCCATGAATGTAAACAATGTGGTAAGGCCTTCAGTTGTTCAAGTTCTGTTCGAATACATGAAAGGACTCACACTGGAGAGAAGCCCTATGAGTGTAAACAGTGTGGAAAAGCCTTTAGTTGTTCCAGTTCATTTAGAATGCATGAAAGAATTCACACTGGAGAGAAGCCCTATGAGTGTAAACAGTGTGGTAAGGCCTTCAGTTTTTCCAGTTCATTTCGAATGCATGAAAGGACACACACTGGAGAGAAGCCTTATGAATGTAAGCAATGCGGGAAAGCCTTCAGTTGTTCCAGTTCATTTCGAATGCATGAAAGGACTCACACTGGGGAAAAACCCTATGAATGTAAGCATTGTGGGAAAGCCTTCAGTTGTTCAAGTTCCATTCGAATACATGAAAGGACTCACACTGGGGAAAAACCCTATGAATGTAAACAATGTGGCAAAGCCTTCAGTTGTTCTAGTTCTGTTCGAATGCATGAAAGAACTCACACTGGAAAGAAACCCTATGAATGTCAACAGTGTCATAAGGCCTTCAGTTGTTCCCGATCCTTTCGGATCCATGAAAGAACTCACACTGGAGAGAAACCCTATGAATGTCAACAGTGTGGTAAAGCATTTAAGTGTTCCCGTTCCTTTCGAATACATGGAAGAACTCACAATGGACAGTAACTAATTGTAGACAGCATGGTAAAGCATTCAGTTGACTTTGAAGATATGAAAAGATATGAAAGGACTCTTGCTGTAGAGAAACCCTGTGAATATAAAATGAAAGAAAACTTTCAGTTCTCTGGGTGTGAATACCAGAAGGAGCTCTTACTGGAGAGAAACCCTATGACCACAAGCAATATGGGAAAAAGCCTTCAGTGATCAGCTTTTTGAGGACATGCAAGAATGCATTCTGGAGGAATACTCATAAATGTCAAGAATATGTAAAAGCCTTCAGTTGTCCCAGTTTATTTAGAAATCATACACAAACACACTGGAGAGCAGTTTATCGAATGCAAAACAATGTGGGAAAGATTTCAGTTGGCCATGTTCTAACATAATATATGAGAAGGCACACTGGAGAGGAATTGTATAAAAGTGAAAAGCAATGGAAAGTTTTTTTTTTTTGTCAAATATTCATGTAATATTCCCTCTATGTGAATCTTCAAACTCATGTAAAGACTCCTACTGGAGAGAGGTCCTTTAAGTGTACATAATACAAATTAATTCATGTCTATCATTCCAGAACATTTACAACATGAAAGAAATGTTATAAAACATGCAAGCTTATTTTTCAGTTGTTTATTAAAGTATCCCTGGACTATGGATTTCTATTTATTACTTTCACACATGAACATCAGGTGAGATAATTCTGTAAGCCCTTCTTAAGCAACTGTACATGAGTTTAATAGGTAGTGTTTTATCATTTAATCAGTTACTATAATTTTCTCTCTTTTTTGAAGTCTGCTGAATTCATGGGTGAACCAAAGTGTATTTCCAATATGAAAATTTTTAATATTTTTTTTGTTCTGTGATTAATAGATCATTGAAAAATGACAATTCAGAAATCATTGGGATTTTCCTACTGGCCTTGGTTAGCAGAGACTAGATGTCTCTTACTCATATACTTTTAATTATTTTTTCTGATTTAGATAGGCTTGTTTGAAGGGGGAGCAGAGGAGACTTACTTTATTTTCTATGCTAATAGTGGCCATAAATTTATGAAAAAATTTTATCTTATGGGATAATCTCATTTAAATTATTTTCACCTTTTGCTCTTAGTCATTCCTTTTGGCTGTGATTTAGATGATGGATTTTGCATTAAGAAGAGACTTGTGGTAGCACAATATAATCTTAGTGGGAAATGGCTTTCCTGAATTGTGTTAACACAGATAACTGTGTGGTCTGTCTTCTACAATCCATCTCTTCCAGTTCCATGCTAGAATTCATCAATAATATATTTGTTTGAGATATAGAGAGCAGAATTGATGAAGGGTGTTGAGTTTTATAACCATTAATATGGAACTAGATTGATGAATAGGGCTTCAGGGATACCTGCTTCTACCTCATTTTCCTGATGCTTTGCCATGCTGATCATGAGTACAGTTGTGTGTCGCATAATAGTGTTTCAGTCAATAACAGGCTGCATATGTGGTGGTCTCTTAAGATTACAATAGACCTGAAAAATTTCCTATTGCTTAGTGGCATCATATCCATTGTGATGTCATAGTGCAAAGTACTATGTGTTTGTGGTAATGCTGGCACAAACAGCCCTGCTCTACCAGTAGTGTAAAAATATAGCACTTGCAATTAGTTTTAGACATAATACTTATAGTAATAATAGACAACTGTGTTACTGGTTTATGTATTCTATATCCTGTAGTTTTTATCATTTTAGGTTGCATTCTTATTTTTTAAAAAGTGTACTGTAAAAACAGCCCCAGACAGGTCCCTTAGGAGGCAGTCCAGGAGAAGGCATTGTTACCATCTGCGGGCAGCTCCGTGTGTGGTGTTGCCCCCTAAAACCTTCCAGGGGGACAGAGGTGGAAGTGGAAGACTTCATAAGTCTTCCCAGGACTGTTAATGGTCCTGCACTAGACTAATGAGTGTGTTGTGTCCTAGTTTTAACAAAAAAGTTAAAAATCAGAAAAAATTAAAATAAAAATAAATCTCATAGGGTAAGAACATAAAGAAGATATTTTTGTACAGCTATGCAATGTGTTTGTGTTTTTCTTTTTTTTTTTTTCCATTTTCAGATGGGTAACATGCTGATGTTGTCACAAGTTTGGAGGGAGGCACCTCTCAACACATCTGTGTGGAAACCCAAGCCTGTGCTTGTAAACCATAAAAAGGATCTTGTGTTTTAAGCTAAGTGTTATTATAAAAGAGTCAAAATGCAAAAAAGATTGCAGGGGGCTGTGTGTGTAGTGCAATGTTAGAGTACTTGCCTAGCAAGTATGAGGCCCTGGGTTTGATTCATAGCACTGAAAAAAAGTTATTTTTAAGTTTATAAAGTAAAAATGGTGCATAAACTGATTTTTATTGAATAAATAATTTTTTAAGAAAAATTAGTATAGCCTAAGTGTGCACACAGTGTTTATAAAATCTACAGTAGTGTACAGGAACGTCCTAAGATTCACATCCATCCACCACTCAATGACTCACCCACAGCAACTTCCAGTCCTTCAGGCTCCTTTTATGATAAGTGCCCTATATAGGTGTACCAGTGTTTATCTTTTATATGGTATTTTTACTGTACCTTTTCTATGTTTAGAAACACAAATACCATGTGTTATACTTGCCTATAATATTGAATATAGATACATGTTGTATAGGTTTATAGCTTAGGAGCAATAGGCTGTGTGCCATACAGTCTAGATGTACAGTAGGCTACACCATCAAGGTTTGTGAAGTAAGAATATTTTATGTCTGTACAAAGACAAATCTGCTTGATAATGCATTTCTAGAACACCTTGTTCCTTAAACAGTATATGCCTGTATTCTCAAAGTTAGCACTAATTGCTTGATTGTCATCTTTATAGAGGTGTAGTGTATAGATACCTCCCAAGTTCCACTCAGCATCCATTGCTGTTTAGATTTTACTGCAAACTTTAATGTGTGCATAATTTGGACTCACAAGATTGGGAATGTTCCCTGATGTTTTGACTTACCTCATCTCTAGACTGAATTCATCTAGGGTCTTACATTATGTAGTAAACACCTGTTGTATTAATGTTGCCAGTGACTGAATGTAGTTAAAGTGGTGCATTCAGAAAGGACTCTTATGGACTTGGGCTTTTGTTAGTCAATGAAGTGAGACTTTTCTCTATATTGGATACTGTGTATTGAATTTATTAGTTGCATCACTGGTTATCATAATAGTTCTTATCTAGAAAGAAGGAAGAATGAAGTTGAGATAATCTACATGGGTCAAGTATGGTGGCGGATATCTGTAATCCCAGATACTGGGGAGGCTGAGGCAGGAGGATCCCAAGTTCGGGGCCAGCCTCAGCAATTTAGTGAGACCCTAGCTCAATTTTAAAAAAAGGGGGTGGGGTGGGGCTGGGGAGATAGTAGTAAAGCATCCCTGGGGTTAGTTCTCAGCATTGCAACAGCAACAAAAGAACTACATGGGTAGTTTTTTTCCTTTATTGCATTGGGCAGTGAATGCATTGACTGATCCCTAGTTTTAAGAATGAGCATCTTCCTCATAGCAAGCGGTTTGTCTGTTTCCTGTCACTGTTGAACATAATCTTAGTATGTTTTCAATTACTTAGTATGTTTTCAATTACATTTCACTGTATGTGATAAAGTGTGCATGTTTTTGTAAATAGACTCTTCTGTAGATGTTTTCTAGAATATTTTAGAAATTTTTCAAATAATTTGTATACTATCAATTGTCTTTTTCATTTCCTGTAAGGATATATTAAAATACTCCATTACAGTTATGGGCTTTCAGATTGTTTGTAAATTTGTCAAGTTAACCATTGGCTATTCTTAATTAATATTAACTCGTACATACAAGATCAAGTATTGTAAGGGAATTTTTATTTTTCTTAAGATAGTTCATTTAAAAAAAATAAAACAGATTTCTCCATTCATTCTGAATAAGCTAAAACTCAAATCATCATTTGTCAATGCCCTCTTGCCAGAGACTTCCAGGATCTCTGGTGCTCAGTGTTTAGACTGCCCCTGGGTCAATCCCCAGAGCTGCTGAAAAGATAACTACATGGAACCAGGCATGGTGGCATGAGAGTATAAATGAGGTATCTATATTTTGAACTCAAGGTTAGAGGAGTATCCCCTGATGTTCTGACTCCCCTTATCTCTAGATCGAATTCTTCTAGGGTATTGTAGTGAAAGAGAAGAGTGTTATGAGTTGAAATAAGAATGACCACAAACCATTAGCAGCTATGGGGAGAATCAGTAAAAAGGTATTGAAAAAGATTTTTGGACTTGGGCTTTTGTTAAGTCTATGAAGTGAGACTTTTCTCTATATTGGATGCTGTGCACTGAATTTATTTATATCACTGGTTATCATAATAGTTCTTATCTAGAAAGAAGGAAGAATAGAGTTAAGCTAACCTCATTTCCAAGTAACTCCAGTTCTATTGGTCAGTAGGGGATAATTTTGGTCAATTTTGTGGCTTTGGTGCTGCTGTCCCCTCCACCCCTTTTTAAAGAGTTAAACGTTTTTTCAGTGCTGGGAAATCAAACCCAGGGCCTGGTGCTTGCTAGGCAAGTGATCTGCCACAGAGCTACATCCCCAGCCCTAACATTCCCCTCTCCATTTTTAAAAAAGAACTTCTCATCATGTTGCACAGGTTGGTCTTGAACTCCTTGGCTCAGGAGAAATGTAAACATATGTACACAGAAAACCATGTATCTGAATGGTGTTGGCAACATTATTCACAATATCCAAAAGGTAGAAACAAAGAAAATGTACATTAATGGATGAATAAGTAAACACAACGTGCTACATCTAAACAATGGAAGAATCAGAAACAAATGAGGATGTGTTGATACCTGCTACAATGTAGATGTTCCTTGAAAACACTGTTAGGTGAATAAAGTCAATCCTAAAGATCCCAGATTATCTAATCCCTTTCATATTAAAGTCCAGAATAGGAACTATATCCAAACAGAATAGATGAGTAGTTGTCTAGGGTTTAAAGGAAAGTGAAGGGATAACTAATGACTACCGGGTTTGGTTTTGTTGTCATGGCCGATGGTAATGTTCTAAACTTGCGAAATTGCAAGTATAAGTGAATATACTAAAAAATCTGAATAGTGCACATTAAAGGAGTGTATTTATGTATGATATCTCAAAAGACAGGTTCCAATAAAAGATACATTAGGAGTTTTACCCATTTTTTAAGCACATTGAGTTTCAATGTACATCCAAAGTTTACATAGCTTTTTATTTTTTTCTTATATCAATGAAATAGGTATTCAGTTTGCCTTAGGGATAGCATACATTTACATTTCAAAGTTCACTAGGAGCACCTTCAAAAATTATCAATAAGAAATTGCCTTCCAAGGTTGGGACTACAGCTTAGTGGTAGAGTGCTTGCTTTAAATGCGTGAGTCCCTGGGTTTAAAAAAAAAAAAAAAATTGCATGCTTCAGACTTTTTTATATATATATATATAGAGAGAGAGAGAGAATTTTTTAATATATATATATATATTTTTAGCTCTCGGCAGACACAACATCTTTGTTTCTTGTATGTGGTGCTGAGGATCGAACCTGGGCTCGTATGCATGCCAGGCGAGTGCGCTACCGCTTGAGCCACATCCCCAGCCCCGCATGCTTCAGGCTTTGTAACAAGAACACACAGCTTGTTGATGGAAAAGAGTTACTGCACCCAATCTAGGGCTGTGATGTTCTACATCCCCTGCCCTTCTATTTTATTTTGAGACAAGGTCTTCCTAATTTGCCCGGACTGGCTTCGAACCTGCAATCCTGCGTCAACCTCCGGAGTCGCTGGGAGGACAGGTGTGTGCCATCGCACCTATCTGGCTTGATAATCCTCTTTGAAATGTCTGTGTTCGTTTTAAACAGAAGAGCTCTAAAAGGCCTCAGGGACTCATGCCAAGCCTCAGACCCTCAGGGCACACTGGAGCCCGCTATTCCAGTCTGGGCTGATCTGGGCGCCCCTCTTACACTGGAAGGGGCGTCCTCCCCTGGGAAAAAGGAGTCGAATTCTCTGCGCACAGCGCGTCCGGGTCCGCGGGAGCTGGGGGAAGGCGCCAGCGGGGGCCTAGCGCGGGGGCCTGGCGCCGGGAACGCGTTCTGACTGAGCCGACCGCGGCTGGCCGGGTCCAGCTCGGGCCCACCGCGGGAAGCCCACTCCGCCAGCTACGTGGCGTCCCTCGTCGCTGTCATTCATTCAGAAGAGGGAGGGTCTCGGCCAATCAGGCACGTCGCAGGAGAGGCCCGCGGAGGGACGCCAGGGGAAGTAGGGGGACGTCCCTACACCTTCCGGTTGCCCTTGAGGACCCGGAGCGGTGCTGCGTGGTCACTTTGCCTGTGGCCTGCGCCGGAGCTGTGGGGAGGACGTCGGGACACCCTAGAGGCCGAGAAATGGTGAGCGCGGGGCCGGGCGTCCGGAGACGCGGCGCGGGGGCGGCTGTGGGCGCGCGGGACCCGGTCGGGCCGGCCTCCCGCGGCAGCTCCGCGGTCTGTGGCCGAGGCGACCGCTGGCCGCTCCGCCCTCCGTCCCCTCTGGCCCTCGGGGTGGGGGGCGGGGCGGGGCGGGCGGGCAGCCGCGACCCCGGAGCTTCGTCGCGTCCCTCCTTGGCGACCCGGCCCGGCGCGGAGCCCTCTCTGGGCAGCTCCTCGGCTCTCAGCCTGTGCGGTCCCTGCGGGAGGGTCGCGGGGACCCCGGCTGCGCGTGGGGCGAGGGTCCCGAGGCCCCGGCCCTCCGTTCTCCTCAACGGAAAGGGACGCACCGTCCTGCTCGCCGCCTCGCCCTTCCTAGGCCGAGGATCCCTAAACTTCGCGGTCCTTCCCGGTGTTCGCACACCCAGCCCCTCCCCGGTTCCCACCCTCGGACGGCCTTTTCTCAGTGTCCAGTGCGCGCGGGTTTTTTGTTTGTTTGCAGTGCTGGGGATGGAGCCCAGGGCCTCGCGCATGCCTCGCAAGCGCTCCACCCTGAGCTGTGGTAACCCCAGTTTGTGGACTTTTCACTTGAAAGTTAAGCAGGGAATAACCACCCGGCCCTAAGGTGAAGGGGGAAAATGTCCTGTGCCCCTCCTCTTCCCTCCTAAGTAGGATGTCTTTTTCCTTTTCCGTGGTTTTTACTGGTGCATCATAGTTGCACGTACTGACGGGATTTGTTGTTAGATATTATA